GAGATCCTTGTGGAACGCCGAGATTTATGGCTCTGATATAGAATGATACTTTGTCCACCCCCACATGGAGCGATCTGCCTGGAAGATAACTCAATAAATGCAGGCATAACTCGAGATGGTTAGCTGTATGATAGTAGTTTGTGTAAAACTCCTTGGTGCCAAACACGATCGAATGCTTTCGATATATCTGACAATACAGCCAGGGATTCCTCATTCTTAATCAATCAAGCTTGCCATATATGTAGTATGGTAACGCAGGCAAGTGAATCTCTAATTGAACTTCGATAGCGGAAGCCATATTATTGTCTACCATTAATGATTCCTGACTTTTCCACATGATAGATGAGCTCAATGTTTATGGCATTCTCCATCACTTTGGAAATAACTGATTGCATAGCGATAGGCTTCTAGTTGTTGGACAAGTTGTTTTTTTCTTGGTTGGTTGGACTCTATTTTTCAGCAGGATAGAAAAACATCCGGAATTGGGCATTTTTCCATGGTCAAACAAGAATAACTCACATACATAACTCACAACAATAATACGAACAATTCGCAATCATTCAGGGATTTCCCAGTTACATGATGGGTTAGTTTTTCATCAATTTTCGTTTTTTCGGAACATGGAACTGGTTAACTTTCCAATGTAGAAATCACGATTTTTCCACAGCATATATTCACTTGCAAGAATGCACTGATGATGTATATAGTCTATAGCTCTGTTGAATTATTTTGCAATACATTTTCTGACGGAATATACAAAACTTCGTACAGTTATTGTATATAAACGTTCACAGATACTAAAAAATAGAAAGGTAGATGTACTGGTCGTCAAAAAATTTAAGTTTTATCAACCACCAGTGGATTACTAGTTACGTAACTTGGTAGGAAATGAACAGAAGTAACAATTGAAAATTGAATAATCATCATTCTTGCATGAATCATCATCATCATTGGAAATCATGAAGCTTCAAAAATATAACTTGGACAAACAATCAGTAAAATTTTGTGGTAGCTATACGAATTCCGAGTATGAGGTGAAGCTAGACCAAAGCGATCTTTAAAGAGGAAAGTCGCGGTAAGCCCAGTCTGGCAACACTGTTCAAAAGGTCTACCTCCAGACATTTGCACAAATACGATATATGGGTCCTGCATGTAACAGAGTGATTGTTTTTAGTTTTCAAGAGTGAATTGATGTGTTATTAATGTGAATTATTATTGTTGAAAACCAGTGAAAAGTGTGAGGAATATTCTAGTGATCGAGTTACAAGTGGAAGGGTATTATTGTGTGTGAAGAAGGTTATGTTTTTTGTTGTATTATTTCTGGAAGCGAAGTGAGTCATTTCAAACTTTCTCATAAGAATATGCCAAATAACTGCTGTGTGACACTAAGTCAAATTACGCATCGAAAAAGAAATATGTTTCGATTTTTATATTTCCTATATAGAGATGAAGAACTGCGGAAAAGTGGATACCTCGTAAAAATTGGTCCCCATCTCAACATCCCGCAGTGTGTGCAATTCATTTCGTTGAAACAGACGGATCAATTTTAAAAAATTTGCTGAAAACCCACAGTTAGTTACAACAGCAGTTTCCTCTATTTTTCAAATTTACCAAGTTATCTTTATAAACTTAATACCCCAATAAGAACAAATCCTGATGAGAGACGTCAGAAATGTTCAGCTGTCCAAATAAAAAATAGTTGATTTTGAAAAATCCGACCTGATTGCATGTATCAAAATTGGAAATTGATAGCTGTTGCGATTGAAAAGTCCTTAAGACAGGGAGTGGAATTTATTTTTATCAATTAGGTTCACAGTCAGATGTATTGAAATTAACTTCTCAAGTTGTTGTATTGAATGAGATGCAGGTCCAAGTTTTACTAGATGATAATAAGTTGGGATTCAATGATTCAAAATGGATTTTTTCCTATGATATGAAAATGAGTAGGTGGTCACAACTTCAGAATATAATATATATAATAATATTCTAGCAATATACAGAAAAAGCTAAGATAAAATTAGCTCATTTGATGACTTAATAGAGAAAAGTTTGATATATCTGAAAAAAGCCCTCATGGTATCTTGTGGAAAAAGCTCATTTCATTCTAGAAATCTTGGAATTTTGATTGATCGATTGAAATAACTACACATTTAAAAGAATAGATATTCGTCTGCTACAATAATTATGTCCTTTTATGTTATACACCACTTCTCACTCTGTGTATGGACTGAAAGGAACCGTAGGATTTTTTTAATTCCACCTTTCAAACGATACTTTCAACAACTATCTTCCAACTTGAATATTTCTTCAAGCAATAACTTGAATGGTTGATGAAAAATGGGACTTGCCAGTTGTTTATTGTATCCAAGAAACTGAATACTGAACTGTGACCTGACCCATTATCTTTTGCTATTTTTTATCATTGGAGTTCAATTTTTTATTCCAAAGACAGAAATTGATGTTAAGTTAGCGTGGTTAGCGGTAACGCACCAGTGATTGCCTATGTCGCCGTGGTAGCCATGCAGGCGAGAGTAGACCTACCGGATCACGACGATGCGGTGTTGCATTTATCTCAAGGCGGATTGTTATATAGGCTATGACTAGACCAACACAGGCCACCATTAGAATATTGGTGGACGATGACCACAGTACAACAATCGCTATTCTCCGTAACTGGTCATGTTGCCAAATGCCATCCTTCCTCAATAGGTACTCGTATATTATATACCGATTCCATAAACAATTTGTATAACTGAAATTTAGACATGAATGGAATGGAAAAGTAGTAGATTCGCTTATGAAAATCTATCAACTGAAGATATATATATGTATATTACTGCCCAAGATGAATGCATATAAAAACCTACTAGAGCCAGAACAATACAGTTGCCAAATCCGTGCAGAGAAGACCAGATAAATTCATTTTTATCTCGCTTGGAAAGAACAAATAGGCTATATAGATACAGATCTATAAAAATGTTCTCATATGATACGTCCACTTGTCCAGTCATGCGAATTTATGGTGGACGATAATATGGAAATAGTACTTGGAGTGAGGAAAGTGGGAATGTCTGGCTTTTGGCTTCATAGGAGAATGAAAATATATGCCTTTGCGCTTTCTGAGACCTAACTCCGAATAATGATTATGATCGAGATATATAAAAATATCCCGAAATATATTACGAATTTGAAAAAATTATGGGAGTGGTTTTCTACAAATTTCCTTTCTATGCTGTGTCACAATTCACAACAGTTGATCGGTGTTGAATCGATTCTAATGAAACAAGAATTTGTGTTATTTTTTCATCATACTGATAAAGATTCTGAAATTGATTGATGAATAGAGTATTCACAGAAGTGGTTCGAAATGAAGTGGATCACACCGATTCCATATATTGAAAAATCTATTTTGAATAATTACTTTTATGACACGTGGCTCGCACTGAAAATTCAAAACTGAGGAGATTCAACCTATTCAATATGTTGAAAAATTTTATTAAATAATCACTTTCATGACACATTATTACTATTCAGTACCCATACAGCTTGGTAAATTTTTTAGAAATATTTGAACATGTACTCAAGTGACAATAGCAAACGGTATGATATTTACTTCGATAATATTCGATTTCTACTTCTTGGATAACTCAAACCTACATACCTAGTTAACACAAACATCTATGAGATGTCTCTTCATCAGATTCTGTTGGATCTGAGACGAATATGGATAATATATTGATGAAGCTTCTTAACGACTGAACAAAGATTATAATTTCAGAATTGGAAATTCAAATAGTTGAGAAACATACTTTGTTGTATTTGAATTGACAAACTGCTTCATATTGTGCAGAATGAAGAAACAAAAATATCCGTCAATTTGTGAATCTCTCTCACATCTCAAGAAACTTCATTCATGAGAGTAATATCGTACAATACAATCAACATACTCATGAAAGTAGGGCACAATGTGACATATAGGATTCGTACACACTCGGTTGGTGTCGGTCTAACTAATGTAGACGTGTCTGTAAATTCTTTAGCGAAGGCGTGCTATATCGTCTCGTCCATTTCGTTGTTCCAGTTCATTCGGTGTTAGAATTCAGTTCAGTTTGGCGTTATTGCTCACACTGAAGCATCTATGTCTACTTGTAAAATCTGAAACCAGGAACTGATACTTTCTTTATTATTTTGGTTTCTTGTATCTGTGGTTGAAATCTTCCTATGAAGAGCAAGGGCCGTTCAACGTAGGACACGCTGTAAATAGATACTAACTCATTACCAAGTCATTTGAGGAATATACAGGAAGCAACTAGATTCAAAATTAACTTAAAAAAATATCTGCTTCAGAGACTTTGATAATTCCATTTCTTATTTGAATACCTACTTATAAAAGACTAGGTTGATATTGCATGATTATTTGCATTTTATTTTTTTTTTAACTTGTTATATCTTATTATAATTTCATAATTGTATGTATAACATTATGTATATTGTTTATGTATCCCTATTATAAACAACTATGTTTCTTGGGGTAATAAAGACAATCAATCAATCAATAATTGGAAAATACTGAACCCGAGATCAATTAGAATAACACTCTGTCACTGAGGAGTTTCAAAAACCATAAGACGAAAAGATCAATCTCAGGAATTATTTTGCAATCTTATGTTTGTATAACGGGAACACATTTGTTCCCGAAACGTCCAAAGATAAGTAGAATTTTATGGTTTTTCAATACACCTATATCCTTTTCTTCCACAAGAACTTTTCAAACAAGGTGTCATTCAGTATCGATTGAATTTTTCTCTTGGGTTTCAAATAAGGACATTTTGAACGCAGCGGCATTTTGGAGAAATCGTCTGATTTCTTTTTATAAAGTCGAGGAGATATACTTCCAAACATCTAGAGAAATGAATTCATGTTTATCATTACATACAAAAACAACCCATATTTCATTATAAAAGTAGCTTTACTGTATTCAAATTCGTAATACAGATACTTATTTATTCAAAGCGACAAACTTGTTGACTATGTGCAAGCATTAATTTCCGGGATTACAAGACGGGGCAGACTGTTTGGAGAAGGACGGTTCATGGAAAGTGATTCCCAGGACTAGAAATCCATTAGTTTTGCAAACTGTGTAAACTGGGGGCCTTCACGTCAAGTGTCACTGTCCGTGAGTGCCGTGATCGGTCTTGAACTTTCTGGTGAGCAGTCGTCGGTTCTTCTGGGACCTCTGGAAAAGTAAAAGGGGACGATATACACTCACCAGCAAAAAAAACGGCCACAAAAATTTTCCCAAATTATTCATCCTATTACTTGTTCAACTCTTGTGCGATTTTTGTGGAACTTTGATCAAATTGTAGATTTATGTTCCGGTATGTTTTTTTATGTTCTGGTTTCCACGAAAAGGGATATCCTGTGATGTTCAGAGATCATCGTGAGAACCAACTCGACGGGTTAATTTCGCGGAAAGGAACAATTGTTGATATTTCAACAGAGCATCTTCCATGAAAATATCTATAAAATAGAGTCAGATCGCCAACTTTTCCACGGTGTTCCAGAGAAGTGAGTGAGTTTGTGAGCGAGGCATCACCCACGACACGAATTGCCCTTTTTTGGATAGAATCCAACAGTTCCAGGGTATGTTTGGGTGCTGCACTCCAAATATGGAACGACTGGAAGTGAAATAGCTCCTGGCCCAGAACAGCAAACCAAGTTTTTGGGATGCACTTTTAGCAATTGATCTCACGTGATTTTTTCAAGTAGGGTTATTGCTGATAGTAATACCAAGCATCGAGATGGATGTCATCAAAAGTATGGTTACTCCTGACAAGCTTATGTTGGGCACAGTGAGATCGGCTCTTCTAGAGAAAAGGCATGCTTGTGTTCTGTTTGCATTGAAGTCTACCAAGCTACTGGATCCCCATTCGAAGATTGTTACCATATTTATGTTGTCAACATTTGTTCCTCGTTCGTTTCTGATTTGCCTGGCTGGTATTGGAGCCGTGGAAGAGAATGTGGAATGGAGGGTACTATCATCCGTGAATCTGTGTACTGGACATGAAGTTGCTTTCAACAAATCGTTGATATGGTGTAAAAATATTGTTGGTGCTAGAATTGATCCTTGCGGAACTCCAGCATTTATGATAAGAGAGTCAGATGAAACTCCGTCGACCACTACATGGAGAGACCTGGTTGGGAAAAAAACTAGCTAGACGAGAACATAGCTGGGGAGGCAAGCCATAAGATGGAAGCTTGGCGAGGAGTCCGTGGTGCCAGACTGGATCAAATGCCTTAGAGATATCAAGTGCCACGGCTAAGGTTTCACCATATCTTTCGAAAAATTGCTGCCATATATGTGAGACGTAAGTGAGCAGGTCACCAGTTGATCTCTGATGACGGAAGCCATATTGCCAATCGTTGATAATACCTGAATGTTCGAGGTATATCATGAGCTCGAAATTGAAATGAAACAAAAAAAAAATAAAATCAATACTCTCCTAAGTCCCTTGACTTTTCCTTAAAAGTTGTCATCGACGTGAATCAAAAACCATTTTGTTAGGAAAGGATCACACCTCAATACGAGTAAGTTTAACCACCCAGTTCTGCCACAGGGCGTTGAGAAGTTAAGGATGAGAAAGTAACTTCTGTTTGTTTCTGTAAAATAATCAAGCCATCAGCTTTTCGGTAATTTTTCACTTATCATGCGATTTTTTTCTCGAAAATTCTTCCTGGTACTCACATATTTTTGTCACAGAAATACGAATCCAATGAAGAAAATTTCAACAAACCTGCTCTATTTATAGGTTGCGTGCAAGAACTGTCAGATGACCGACGCTGGAGGCAAAACATTGAAACACAACGTCACTTTTCTTATTTGTTTACAAGTGATCGAGATAGTTTTTCACAATTATTTTGGCATACGAATCGTATTTTTTCGCTATTCATCAATTCGCTCATGCCATCATATTATGCTGTTGTGAAATGCACAAAAACTGCAGCGGAAGACGAAGTAATCCGGTTGGTACATTATGATTTATAAGTAAGTACCTACTATAGTCACTCACATATAGTTTTCATTTTTGAAATTTGGTAATTTCTCTGATTTCTCATCGGAATTCCTTCTGCGATAGGAGCTAATAGAAATACACCTGGAATTTCTAAAATAATGCAAGAAGATTGGATTCATGCAATCAATCGGGAGGACTGGTCTGACATGCTGACGATCGTGTGTGTTGTAGACATTTTCAATCAATTAGTAGTATTAGCTTGTATTGCAGAAGTGGCAGAAGGCAGAAGGAATTTCAATAGGGAATGACAACACATTTCATAATGATAACTATGTGAGATTATTATTTACCTGAAAAATCATATACTTTAGTCTCTTACTGCATTTTTTGTGCATTGTACAACAGCACAATGCGAAGGCATGCTCGAATTAATAAATAGCGCAAAAAACACGATTCGTATGTCAAAATATTGTGAGAAACTATTTCATTTCTTTGATTCCTCTGTAACCAAATAAAAAAGTGAGGTTGTGTTTCAATAATTCACAGAAGAATGAGGTTGTGTTTCAGTATTTTGCCTCCAGGGTCGGTCTTCGTGCACGCGACCTATTGAGATATTTCACGAAAATGTCATCTTCTTTTTCCGCCTGTCTTTGGATACGCATGATTTACAGCTTCTTGCTCTTATTTGTCATTGGACACCTTATATGTACTCATGATGTACTTCAATGACACATTTCATAAAAGAAAAATCAACAAGATATATGATTTTTTGATGAGTTTCATATATTTACTGAACAATCATACTAGCTGACAGCCATTTGAATTTACACGTCGAATGAATGGCAAATATCAACAGATTTTGAAATGACATGAACTTTGCTTTTGAATAACATTATACAAATTATTTCAAATGTTATTTTCTCCAATTTTTTTTCACTTTAAAGGCTGAAACTAGTGTGATATGGATTTTCAGAACAAAATTGAGTTTTCGTATTCACATATCCACGATGGAAGTGATTTTTTGCATATTTGACATGTCCTTGATGAATGGAAGATGGCAGAATAGCAGGAGTGGCAGAATTCAGAATAGAGAATGGCCGTCCTCGTCAGCTAGTATGATTGTTCACCAAATAGTGAATATGGAAAAATCGCGATAACGATATATTTTCAGTCGATTTTTGTACTAAAAATGTAGCATTGAAGTACATTGTGATTGATAAATTGTCCAATGATGAAAAAAGAAGAGCCAATAGTTCTCAGACAAGCTGAAAATAAAAGGTGAAATTCAGATTTTTTCGTGAAATATGTCGATAAATAGTGGTTTTTTCACATCCTCATTATCAGATTAGGGTATTTGGGACAAAAATACGGAAGTACCAAAAATAACTTTTGGAAAAAAAGAAACATCGCATGATAAGCGCAAAATTACCAGCTTTCCTTAGGAACCCACTATTGACATTATAAAACATGAACAATATCAGATTTGATCACCAAAATCGGACAAGAATTAAAAAAGTTACAGGGCGAACAATTTAACCAAATTTTTTGGTGTTCGGTATTTTTTTGTCTGGGAGTGTAATATTTTCTGATTGTGACAATTCAACGAACGATTACCATCCCCATGAAATGCATCAAGAACAGGACATTTCTCGCTTTTCCATTTTATATAACATATAATAATGGTAATAACCAAATTGCCAACATTGAAAAATCAACGGGTAACATATTTTTTTTACCCTATACCCTATACCCACCTTATGGGCCTGCTGCCTTCCGCAATGAACCCATACATAATGCGTCAAATTGTAAGTTCACAATAGGTATTAGTAATAATCAGTAGATAGAGAATATATTTCTCTCTCTTGTAAGTTGTTCCTATATGGTTGAATAATTAATTGAAAAAATCAATCAATTTCCTACGCTTGTAGAAAAAATATTGTTCCTAACTCATGCGGAAAGTATCTTTCTCGCACTCGACTGCTTGCCCGACCTCCTCTTCGCGTCGTTCGTGTCAACGGCAGTCGCGTGCGGGAAAGAATCACTTTCCGCACTTGTTAGGAAAATTACAATCTCGCCTATTCAACGCGTACTCATATAAGTGATATCACGATGTTCTGAATATTCGAGATGATGCTTCATTGTTCAAGATATCGTGTAGTCGAGCAACACCACGCGTCAGGACGAGTGGAATTGCTGTTCGGCAACACAATTGAGTTAACAATGAAAGACAGAATTATAAGGAGGTATTCTGCTAAACTATTTCACGAAGCATTAGAAGCATTTATTATAAAATGAACAAGCCATATAACCAAAGCGCTTCATTATCTGACATCTACAGCTATAATAATTATTTCATATCAAACCGACCGACTCTACTTTGCTATCCATGATTATATCGTTGAACACACCAATCGGCAATGAAAGACTGCTAGTGTTTTCGCGATAACACAAGTTGTTTTTGGAGAATCTCAGGATGAGTGAAATAGTTGTTGATTCAATATACGAGTATACTCATTGAGGCGTGATGTACTACGGAATTTAATATTGTTATCACATTGTGTAAGGTGAACTTACATACATTAGATATATCTACCTTGAAATACGATAAACTCTCGAGGTTCTGAATATCCCCAGTGAAGTAGAAAAATAAAATAGAGTATATTGGATATGCAAATTTCATCACCCTTCGACTGGAATCGAGAATCTAATATTTCAGCCGATAAATCGCAAAAAGAAAGAAAAACTTGTTGCAGTCTTTCTCGTCCTCGTATACCTTCCAGGCCAATACAGGTGCCTCAGAAAGAAGAAAGCACGTTTTCAGAATTTTCCGACATGAACCGGTCCCAGGCATGTAATAAAAGTTAAACGTTCCGAATTTATGACACTTGAAATGCATTTATGCAGTGTGGCGGATTTGAGTTACGGTGTTTAAAGTGTAGTCGAATCTTTCGACGTGCTGAAAAATTGCTCAACTTTAACGCTCAAACGACGTGATCTCATACGTTTAGTGAACGATTTACACGAGATTTCATTCTAGAATTTTTTATTTTCGATAATCGAGTCACTATATAGGGTGTCCGAAATTGCTGGGACACAAAATTACCACGTACGTAAGACGAGTTCAAAGTTTACATAGAAACAATAGTATATTATGTAACAAGTGTTATAAACGTCCTTTTAGTAACGAGTAGTTTAAGCACGAGCGGAGCAGAGCGGAGCGAGT